TAGCAATGTGGAAAATATCAGTACATAAATATTTAAGGATAAAAAAACTAGAGATCGGAGAAGGCAAGGTTGAAAGAAAGTTAAGGTAAAGGACCAAGATTTTACTCATTCAAACATTCAGACTTTTGGTTTGGAAAAGACCACCTAGAGGCAAACATTGACTATAGTTATCAGAGAAATAAACAGACACACTTTTTAAAAACAAATGTCTGAGAGGCAAGTATATCGGATCCTCAGTTTTTAAATTAAACATATCTGTGATATTCTTGGGTGGTCATCCTTTTCTAAAGTGTACCCCTTTTCTTCACTCTGTACCATAAACCTAATTATCCCAAAGCACCAATCTCACATTTACTGGGAAACTCTTTTTCTCAAAATCCAACCTCTGGTCTAGCTGTGGGAACATTCTCACGTATTTCTTTTTTTCTTTTTTTAAAAATTAATTAATTTATTTATTATTATTTTTAAAATATTTTATTTTATTTTGTCAATATACAATGTGGTTGATTATTGTGGCAAAATGGTGCAGCCTCTATGGAAAATGGTATGGAGGTTCCTCAAACAATTGCAGATAGATCTACCATATGACCCAGCTATCCCACTGCTGGGAATATACCCAGAGGAATGGAAATCATCAAGTCGAAGGTATACCTGTTCCCCAATGTTCATCGCAGCACCCTTTACAATAGCTAAGAGTTGGAACCAGCCCAAATGTCCATCGCCGGATGAGTGGATACAGAAAATGTGGTATATCTACACAATGGAATACTACTCAGCTATAAAAAAGAATGAAATACTGCCATTTGCAACAACATGGATGGACCTAGAGAGAATTATATTAAGTGAAAGAAGTCAGGCACAGAAAGAGAAATATCACATGTTCTCACTTATTTGTGGGAGCTAAAAATAAACAACAAACGGGGGTGGGGGTGGGGGAAGAAGACATAACAATTACAATTCCTTGAAATTGATACAACAAGCAAACAGAAAGGACATTGTTGGGAGGGAGGGGGGAGAGGGAGGTGGGAGGCAGGTTTCAGTACTTGGCCTAACATATTTCTAAAGAAAGAGGGGAGATCAGAAACAATGATTATTTGGGAATTTTGCAACAGGCCAGTGGACCATGTAGACTTCTCCAGAAGCAGATGTGCTTCTGAATGGGATAAAAAAAAAAAAAAAGTCACCTTCTTCAGTCACACTCTGCGTCGTGTACCTATATGGATGTCATATCTGAATTTTTTCCCATTTCAATGTACCTAATATGCTGATCTCCCATCTTGCAACTAACAGCATCTTCTTCCGTATTTCTATAATTATGTCTCAGTTGCCATCACACAAGAGGCCTAAAGGTCTACCTTCCTCCTCAGTGAAGACTCTCGTCACTTTTACTTTTAGTTTTTGGGGGGTTTATTTGTTTGTTTTTTGTTTTTAGAAACTCAGGCTGCTCCTTATTATCTCACTGCTGCCACTGGGTGAAAAGTAAGACTCCCCAGAGCTAGAAAAATACAAAAGAAACCTACTCTTCACCATGCTACTTCAATTACTAACACAAAATCCAGTCAGCCTGGCAATAAAATGTAGCAGTACCTTGGTTCTCCCATTACCTATGTTTCCATCCTATCAGTTCCCCCAAATGCCTTGTCACACTGGTTTTCATGGAGCTAGCTTCAGGCCAGTCATTTGGCCATCTTCCCTATGGTGCTGCAAATTTTCCATTTAATGTCTTCACTCTTTGCCTATCATTATCTTTTTTATTCAAAATCTAGATATGCTTCTCACATACACTTCATTCCTCATGCTCTACATATCACTTTAAAACCCTATTTCCTCTAAATTTCTACTATATTCCCTCTTTACTTTTTTTGACATGTAACTTCACACAGCCTTGAATTGTAGCAAAAATAACTTGTGTTCAAAACCTGTATTATAGGGCTGGCTGGTTAGCTCACCTGGTTAGAGTGCAGCTTTCGGTTCCCCGTACTGGCCAGCCACCAAGAAAAAAAAAAAAAACAAACCTGTATTTATATATATGTCATATATTTGTTACAATGTCCTTGCTACTGAAAGATATTGGTTTCTAAAATATACTCCATCAGTTTAGTATATATTAGGAATGTGAGTCACAAAGTAAACCATCACATAGCATCTCCTAGAGAACTTTATCAACAGTCCCAGGTTTATATCCTAAATCTAATCAACCTAGACTCAGAAGAGGCTTTCATAAATTCATTATGCATACATATTCTAACAAAAACCTTGGATTTAAGAAGGTAGATCCAGTGTTTTTAAGGCTGAGCTTCAATGGTCTGGGCAAAAAGTAAAATGAGAACTCAGTGGGGGAAGGTGCTAGTATTTTCTGGAGTGGTCAAAAACCTCTCCATGAAAAGAGAATTCATGAAAAAAATACTGCATGAATGTGGAAAATAAAAAAAAAACACCAAAATCCCACACCTATCACTTGGTCAATATCTTACTTAGTGAATCAGCAACTCCTGACAATATTTATGGTTCTGATTTAAAGAAATTCTTGTTTTACTTCAGGGAAAGAAGCCTCTCAGGGATCCTCCTACTTCACCACCTGCTCTTTCTAAACTTACTTTATTAGATACTCATCTTTCCACAGTCTTAGATCTTGGCCCAGTCAGGAGCCCAGTTGAGCACTGGTCCCATGTGCTGCTGACGCTGCCATTGCTGGCTCATTCCCAAGACCCAGAGAGGCCCACCCACCACCCAAGTAGGAAAGTGGGAGCACAGGTGAGTGCCAGTCCTGCACACCATAACCGTACCATGCCAGAGCGCAGGAAAAGCCTACTCACTGCCTAAGCAGGAGCCCAGGTGAGTGCTGGCCCCATGTGCTGCTTCTGCCACTGCTGCAAGCTCAGGGCCTGAGCTCTGGAGAGGCCCGCCCACCACCTGAGAGGGATTCCAGGTGAGTGCTGGTCCCACATGTCATCACTGCCTCCACCACCTGCCCATACCTCAGCCCCAGACAGGCCCACCCGATGCCCAAGCAGAAGCCCTGGTGAGTGCCGGTCCCATGTGCCACTGCCAACACCACCACAGGCTCAAGCCCAAACCCCAGAGAGGCCTGCCCACTGCCTAAGCAGAAGCCAAGGTGAGTGCCATCCTGCATACCACAACACAGATTGATCACATATTGTACACGGGTATTGATATTCAACCCTGTACCCCACAAATATAATCGTTTTAATAAAAAACAAAATTAAATTAAAACCAACTATCATGGTACTAAACAAAAATTAAAAAAACAAAAATAAAGCTACTTCCTACTCCAGCTCTCCCTCCGCAGCCCCTCCTTTGCCACCACCAGGGAACTGAGAGCCATCTGTGTCTAGCAGGTAAACTGGGTGTTCCCAGAACTCAAAGTCCAATTGTGTGCCCTGCATTCTGACGTAACGCAGCCACACCCATCTCGGTGTTCCTATCAAGAGCTCCCCTAAGGGCTGCTAGGAAAATACTGTATTAACCTCAGAGCGCCTGAATCATTGCACCAACTATGGAAATTATCAGAAGAGATATAAAAACAATAGCACGCTGAGCAAAAAAGTAAGGTGCTGGCGCTCTTCCCCCATACTGATTGCTATGGACGCAGTCATCTTAATGGATGACAGGATCCCATTCAGGGAAAATACAATCTCTTGGGAATTTAGAGTGAATTCTTCAGTACCCTGGAGGGACACTGGCTTAAGGGTGCCTCTGGAGGATCAACAAGGTTTGTGGAAGGTGAAATGGGTGAAGAGTGGTGGGGAGGTGATGCCTCAGAGTGGACAGAAGCCGTGGAAATTTCGAGTCCCCCTCATGGAATGGACGAGATTGGGTAGTGCTCCTCTAGATGAGCATTGTCTTCAGGCCAAACACTGGGGCAGTCTCTGTGAAGACTGGTGCCCACGAACAACTGAATAGAGTATGTGGTTACATGTAACAAGGAGAAAGGGATGAGGCTTCAAATGTAATTCAAATATTTCCCTAAAACACATGAAAATATAAATTGGGACATATGAGAGTATTAAATGACTAAATAATGCAGTTATTATTTGGCAAACACCACACTTTATAACTTTATAAACGTTAACTATAATTTTTATGAAGGTGAGGGGGTGAAGCAATAGAGGGTATAAATACGTACTGACTTTTTAAAGAGGCAACCTGGAATTAATTGTCTACTCAATTGAACTTTTTATTTATCTGGTATGCAAACCTTTGAAAGATGAGCTCAACCCCTGATCTGCAGGGCAGATCTGGGCAGCCCATTTGGTATCCTAGATGCTGTGACTGTCCTGATAGGATGTGGAGATTCACAAGACAAGTGAGAAAGATCTGAAATCTGTACTGGAAAAGAGTCCATTTCTTACTATTTTCCAGAGAACATCTATGCTAAATCTATCCTGTTACAGGCCATTACTTTGCATGTTTTGTTTGTCAGTGTATCCTGTGTTTACAGTAGCATCTGCCACAGTGCAGATGCTTAAAAAATATTTGTTGTAATTACTCAATAACCCAGAGTTTGGGTTTAAATTATGAGGCAGCCATCTTATGGCAAATTTCCACTTTTTTCCTTATAAGCCAGACTCACTGTTTCTAAGTTGTATATATCTTTACTGGATCAGGGGAAGAACTCTGAGAGGAGAGGTGAAGGGCCCCATTCCCAGGAGAGTGAGAAGGAGTGATAAAGGTAAATCACATTTCTCAATTGTGTGTCACAGAGGAGCCAGGATCTTTGAAATCACGGCAACTCTGAAAGTTGATAAATCTGTGGACAGATGCAAAGGCTCTCTCTGACATCCAAAGTGATTTCACCTTTATCCATCTCACATACTGTCCGCTTTTTAGAGAGTGCAGTTAATTTTCTTCCTTTAATTGGGCTTATTCTGTGGACCCTATTCCTTCTTTGATCTGTCCCTTTTATGTTCTGGCAGACACGATTTTTATTCAAGATTTGAAAAAAGTTTGTTTTTTTGTAACAATACCAATCCCTAGAATTTCTTTCCAGTAGTTTCTTTCCTTTAATGACAAAAATAATTTTGATTTATTGGTTTATAATATAACTCATCATCTTCATTCATGTTCCAAATCTACATATAATTAATTTCTATTTTGCTATGTGATGGGCAATATACAATTATCTTCAAACTATCAAGGAATTTATAATCTAGGTACAGAGATATGAACTGTAAAAAAAGTATTCATACCTTGTTTTATGTAAGTAAACTTAAGTGAGTTCTCCCCCTACCACTCCAAATAATAATATGCCCCTTTAATAAAAAATTCAGGATGATTTGATCCTTATCCTGTATGTCCTTTTCAACTAATGTAGGTATATACATCCTTTGACTACATTTGCTAGAAGATAAAATTGCTACATGCATATAATCCACCATAAAAAAAAAATGCTGGCTCAAAACAGCAAGGGCTTTTGGTTTGTCCATCACTGCCATCATCTACAATTCCTACAACAGCAACAAGTGAAGGAAATATTTGATAAAAAAATTTTCTGAGTGGTGTGTATACCAACAACAGACAAATCACAGGGTTAGGATGAGAACTACCTTCTAGGGTAAGAACCTGGCTGATTGGTTATTTATTATTTTTTAATTTCATTCTCCTGGGGTGGTATTCATAAAGCTAAACACATCCAAACATGCTATGTTACATTATTGAATTAAGTATATTCAGTTTCCTTTTGAAGAACTTCAGTAGTCTGAAATAACAAGAAATTTAGAACCAAAGATATGCAAGAGCTAATCATAGTGATCTTGAGTGGGAAAAGAAGGCTGATTAAAAGGGGGAAGTTGCATTGTGTTGTAACTTTAGCCAGTGATGTGCAACACCACTCACTTTCTTCTAAATAAGAAGTCACTGACATAACAACTAGGAGTTTGATTCAAAGTATATTGTCCTAAAATGCATATCATATATATTATCTGATGTATAATGATGTCAGACTTGTGATAAAGACCTCTAAAATATTCTTCACTCTCACAGGGCTTATTTGCTTCATATTCACTGATATTTTGCTGAAAATGTTCCAGTTATTATGTTCATAGTTTTATTTCAATATGACTTCTGACAATTGATGAGGGAGAATGTACCATCAGCAACCCTGCCACATTCCCTGCCTTTGAATGTCTTCCAACAGTTTCTCTCCTGCATGAAGTCTCTGACACCTACTGAGGTCTTATTTGGCCAAGGACTTCTCCATGATTATTTTATTTCTACCAAGTATGAGTTCATTGAAGAACTGTGATCTATTATCACTGGATAGGGTCTGTCTACTCCATAAAAAGACTTTCCCAGTCTCTGTATTCATACTACTTTTCTCTCAGTATACACTTGTCACCCACATAATCACGTAGAAAGTTTTACTCAAGGGTTTTCCACCTTGAATGTATCACAGTTTATTCCTGTGTCATAAAATATGACGTAATTGATCACTGAAAGCACTACCACATTCACTGTACTAATAACGTTTCTCTTCTGTGCAAATTCTATTATATGCTGAGGATGAACATCTGGCCACTGGCTGTCCCACAATAGCTACATTCCTATCTGCTTGTAATTCATTGTTGTTTAATGAAGCCTGAGCTACCACAGAAGGCATCTGCATAGTCACCATGTCAACAGGATTTTTCTCCTGTGTGAGATCACTATCATGTGATGACCTTTGTCTCTTTGAGAAAGGATTTTCCAACTTAACTGAACCTACACGTTTCTCCCTTGCATGCAGCATTCCCTTATGATAAACAAGGCATGACAAGTGGGAGAAAGCTTTCCCACAATCAGAGCATCCATAGGGTCTTTCTCCTGTGTGAGTTCTCCGATGTCTATTAAGGCATGACTTATCTCTGAAAGCTTTCCCACAGTCACTGCACTTATAGGGTTTCTCTCCTGTGTGAATTCTCTGATGATTAATGAGACCTGACTTGTGTGAGCAGGATTTTCCACACTCAGTACATACAAAGGGAGTCTTTCCTGTGTGAAATCGCTGATGTGATATTAAGCATGTCTTCTGGCTGAAGCCTTTCCCACATTCACTGCATACATAGGGTTTCTCTCCAGTATGAGTACGTTGATGTATAAGGAGATTGCCCTTCTGAATGAAACCTTTTCCACATTCATTGCATATATAAGGCTTCTCTCCAGTATGAGTACGCTGATGTACAATGAGATTGCCTTTCTGAATAAAGCCTTTTCCACAATCACTACATATATATGATTTCTCTCCTGTATGAGTTTTCTGATGTGCATTGAGCTGTGATTTCCAGCGGAATGCTTTGTCACATTCAGTGCATTCATAGGGTTTCTCTCCTGTATGAGTTCTCTGATGTTCAATGAGCCTGGACTTTCTGGAGAATGCTTTCTCACACAGACTGCATCCATGTGGTTTCTCTCCTGTATGAACTCTCTGATGATTAATGAGCCGAGACCTCTTGATGAAGCCTTTTCCACAATCACTGCATACATAGGGTTTCTCTCCTGTATGAATTTTCTGATGTGCAATGAGCTGTGATTTCCAGCGGAATGCTTTGTCACATTCAGTGCATTCATACTGTTTTTCTCCTACATGAGTTTTCTGATGCTCAGTGAGCCTGGACTTTCTGGAGAAGGCTTTGCCACATATACTGCATCCATGAGGTTTCTCTCCTGTATGAACTCTCTGGTGGTCAATGAGCCGAGACTTCTTGAGAAAGGTCTTCCCACATTCGGTGCATACATGGGGTTTATCTACCTTTTGAGTTATGTGATGCTTAATGAATTGTGAATCTGTATTCATAGAATTTCTACGTTCAGGGAATTCCATTTTGGCATGAAATTGTTCATGCTTGGCATGGAGGAGTGAACTCCCATCTCTGTTAACCTCAATAGGATTATTGACTTCATAGGTTCTGTTCTGTTTGAGTAAACTTAAATTTGATTTCAGTGTTTTCTCATGTGAGTCAAATATATCATGATTTTTCCTGAAAGGAAAATTACTTTTCCTCTGATGAATGATGCTTCCAAATGCATTATGTTCATGGCATTGTTCCACTCTCTTCAGACATCTTTGGTTTTGTGAGTGTATCTGTAGATGACCATCAACGTTCATGATTTCTAGGAAAGAAGAAAACAAAAAATCCATGAGCATGGAACAGAATAAAATTATTTCACAAACAGCTTTGATGACAACACTATTTGTTGACAACAACTCTTTATTGACAACACTATTACCTTAGTTTAAGGAAACTCTAAGTGGATATGTTTGTTAGTGGCTACTGCCATAATAATAATAAAATGTTGGTTGTCACTTGGACAAGGGTAAAACACATAAATTTAAACAAAAGAAACAAATGGTAAACAGTCATGTATAAAAAAGGTTAGATCATTCAAAATGAATAAATAAAGGTTTGTCTGCTTTCTAAATGTGACCTTATAAAGCACACTGAGACAATAAAATAAAATTAAGTCACTGTTAGCACTGGACCACAGAAGTTGGAGAGATTTTTTTTTCACAATGATGGGGGACATATTCATACATCCACAAATCCTTATTAAATTATAACTGTGTATCAGACATTGTACTGGTGATGATGATATAGAAACATATTTCTTATTTTCTCTGAGCATACATTCTAGTGAGGGAAAATAGAATATGGAAGCAATAAAATAAAGAAGGTAAGTACAAATTGTAAAAAGTACCTTGAAGGAGCAATAGAGAAGGAGAAGAAAATCAGAATATAATTTGGAGAGAGAAAAGATGAGGCTCAGTCAATATGGGGAGTCAAGGCTCAGTCTCAATAACAGAAGATTAATAAAAGTGAGGAATTAAGGATTATTCCTAATTATTTGGATTGAGCCACTGGATAGTGGGGTAGCACCTTTAAATGAGATGAGGAGTAACACTGAGATCCCAAATGTGAGGGAAATCAAATGGAAACCCACACTAACCTCAGGATGGATTTTAGATATTCGATTACAGACATGGAAAATCTAGCTGGATATATAAATCTTGAGAAAGGTCTTGACTGGAGATAACAACTTGGAAATCATCAGTATGTAAATATTATTTAAGAACAGAGGACTGGATGAGATCATGCTTAGGAAAATGTACAGATGGAGGCACAAGACCAACTTTCTGATTACTGCAATATTTAGGGTTTGGGTTTGGAAAATCCCACTGAAGAATAACAAAAATTGACTACATTGATCAGGGAACTAAGCAGACAGAGGTATATTAGGAACTATTACCACAAAGAGGTCAGTGAGAATGTTGTAAACAGCATTTTATTTCAAGATAATTGATAAATTCTTGGTCACTTTATTCCTCTAATTTGCTATCCTTCTTTATTCTGCAGACCACCATCAAACCAAATTTCTCAAAGCATCAATCTCACATTTAAAGGAAAACTTCTGATGGGTACAAAGATACAATTAGATTGGAAAAATAAGTACTAATGTCCCAATACACAGTGGGGTGACTATGGTTAACAATAACATATTTTGTATTTTAAAATAGCAAGAAGAGAGGATTTTGAGTGTTCTCACCACTAAAAAATGATAAATATCTGAGATGATGGATATGCCAATTACCCTAATTTCAGTATTATACATTGTGTAGATATACTGAAACATCATACTATACCCCATAAATATGTACAATTATGTGTCAAAAATAAATACAAAATAAAAATAAATAAAAATAAAATAGAATAAAGGAAAACTTCTGTAGTCAACACTCCAATATCTTAGATCGCTCTGACACATACTCTTATATCAATACAGAAAGAGAAAAACAGTGATCCCTATGGAAATTGGACCACATAGTCTTCTCCAGAAGCAGATGTGCTGCCAAACTGGCTAGGGAACTGTCATCTTTTCCAGTCACATTCTGTACTTGTATACATACAACATTTTGGTTGTTCCTATTTCAATGAGGTAATGATCCTCAAACCCACATCTTGCCACTATCAGCACTGTCTCTCAAAATTCTACATAAATGCCCTGATTGCCATCATTTAAGGGGTCCTAAAGGATCACACTTCTGATCCCAGACCAGAACCCTCAGCAGTTTTGCCTTCCACTTTTCTTAGAACTACTGGATGTACTTTACTGTTGCTACACCCTTGCCATCCAGTAAGACGACTACATATCCAAGGGTAATACAAAACAAACTTAACAACCCCACCACTCTGTCCTGATTACACATAAAAGTCCACAAAAGGCCTGAAAATAAAAATTTACCACGATTACCCCATTTACCCATGTTTACACTTACATTCAACTGGTTCCCCCTACAAATATCTTCTACCCTTTATGTGGTAAGTGTAATGGGATAGTAATGAAAAAGTATAGCTCTAACCTGCACAATTTGCTTGTATAACTTTAACCTGCACAATTTGCTTCTGCTAACAATGGGAACGCATATCTAAAGGCATTTTAAGTGAAGCAGCTTCTAAGAGGTCAGGCAGACCCAGACATACTAACATTCCGGGAACCAGCTGGTCCCAGGAACTCCTTATCTAGAGGCCACCTGGCAGACCCCAAGATTAAAAATGAGCTATATCTTATCAGGGTGCCAGCCTGTTAAGCCTAACCATAAATCTTAAGGCACCACAGCTAATTGACAACTCAGTCTGTTATGAAAGTCTGTCTAAAAAACTGTATAAAAAGCTCTGGTATTGAAAGTTCGGGGCCACTTCTTTCCAGGAGGCAAAGCGTCCCCAGCATGCTGGAATAAAACTCCTCTTGCTTGATTGCAGCGGTCTCTTGTCTCATGGTCTTTGTACACTGAGGGGGCATGGCACTGGGCCACCCAGAGAGCTTCGCTCGGTTAGAGGGGCAGTTACTGCTTGCTGCCAACCAACGTCGTCAGACCTTCCAATTTTTCAAGAGAAGCCAGAAACCCAGACTTTTATATAAGCTCTCCAGATTTATAAATGATGGCTCAAATTCTTTGAAAACACTGTGCAGGTTATAACCTTGGATTTGTGGACATGCAGAGTGACTTCACTGGACACTTACTATAAGCCTGGCTTTGTGCATAGCATGTTCAACACATTGTCTCACTTATTTAATCCATACAACAACCCTACAAGGCAATTCGTATAACTTCGTATAATGTATGCTATACGAAGTTATTACGAACCCTCGGTGTTGCTCCCGTGCCTCGCTCAGCCAGTGAGCAGGAACCGGTCTGTATGTGGGATCCGAACCCTTGGTGGGAGCGCCGCCATGCTCCCAAGCGGTGCACTGTAGCAGTGCGCCACCGGGCTGGCCCCCATAGTGCACAGGTCTTACAGGTAAGGTCCAGGCCAGTCTTTTTTTTTTTTTTTTTTTTTGGTCCTTTTCATGACTGGTAGGGGGTTCGCAACCCTTGGTGTGGGGTTGCCCGCACCGCGCTCAGCCAGTGAGCGCATGGGCCATTCCTATATAGGATCCGAACCTGCGCCGGGAGCATCGCTGTGCTCCCAGCGCTGCACTCACCCCAGTGTGCCACGGGGTCGGCCCCAGGCCAGTCTTTTGACAGTCCCCACAAACCTTTGTGCATTTCCAACTTCACATCTTCATTTTTTTTTTTTTTTTTCCGGGACCGGTAACAGGATCGCTACCCTCGGTGTTTCGCCCACCCATACCGCGACCGGCAACGGGATCGCAACCCTCGGTGTTGCGTCCGCACCACGCTCAACCAGTGAGCGGACCAGTCTCCACATGGGATCCGAACCCTTGGTGGGAGTGCCGCCGCGCTCCCAAGCGCCACACTCTACCGAGTGCGCCACCGGGCCGGCCCATACACATCTTCATTTTTGTTAAAAACAGCTTTACTGTGACATCACTGACATATAAAGACTATAGATATTTAAGGTGTACAATTTCATGTTTTGATATAAGTACACATTGTGAGATGATCATCACAACCCAGCTAATTATCATATCTATTACTTCTACATAGTTACAGTTTATATGTGTGGGTGACCCCTTCATTTCTTGCCCTTCATCATTTTGTTAAAACCCTAGATATGACTCCTACATATTGTGCTATCATTCCCCATTCCATGTCACTGTAAGCTGTTTTCCCTAAATTTCTAAAGTATTTCCTACCCTTTACTGCTTATTTTGACAGTTAACATCATACAGACCTGAACTAGAGCAAAAGATGCTTCAAATTGAAAAGCTTAACTTCTATATATTAACTGCAGATTTGTCCTCTATTTGCTACCTTATTCCTGGAAAGTATTGCTTTATTACTCAGTAAATCGAATCCCTTCTAGCATGTGTTAGGGCTTGTGGTTCACGAACTAGGCTCCAGAGGGTCTGCTTACAGCAATCTATATGGATGAGCCCAGTCCCCAAATCTAACACAAGCAGACTCTCAGAAAATGAGGTCTTGGTACACATATTAGGAAACGATGCATTTAATACTCATCACTAGTTGTCCAAACCTCTTCATTATCTGTACTCCCATTACAGAGGCTCTCAGAGTCAAAATTCCTATCTCTAGCCCTAACTCTCCCAGAACTCAGTAATCCACCTGCTGCAGAGAACACTATATGAATGTGAACAAGCATTTCTAAATTACAATGTCCAAAACAGAACTCCTGATGTCTCAATGCACATTGCCTCCTTCCCACATTGTTTCCATCTCAGGAAATGGAAACTCTATTCCTTCCAGGGCTCATGCCAGAAACCTTACCATCATTCTTCATTTGTATGTTTCTCTCACACTCTTTGTCTACTTCAATAAAAAATTCCATCTGCTTTCCTTTATAAATATATTCAGAAACTGATTAAAACTCACCCCCTCGACCCAGGTCAAAGACAACCACTCTGTGGATTTCAGGCTTCAACCTCTGCCAGCTACTATTTTCTACAAAGTAGCCAAATGATCCTTTCAAATATAAATTATGTTACTCCTCAAAACTCTCTTATGATTTAAAAAAAATCAAGTCCTTGAAATCCCCTTGAAAGGTCCTACATGACCCGTCTACCCCAAACTCTAGCTACTACCACATTGACCTTATCTGTATATTATCTCCAATCACTGTCTCTCTTACTCACTCCACTATATGTACGTAGGCTTCCTTGAAGTTCCTCAAACATACACCAGCCTTGGGCCTTTGAACTTGCTATTTTGTCTACTTAGAATGTAATTCATCCAAGTGACCTACTCACATCCCTCATATAGTTGCTCAGTCACCTTTAAAAGAGCCATTCCCATTCCTGAAAAGAAGCTCCCAGGCTTCTCACATACTATTCCATTACATGTTTTATTGCTCTTCCCAGGACTTTCACCATAAGACATGATATTTACCCATTCTGATTAATTTTGTGCCTCTTCCTTTTAGAATGTAATCCCCGAGAATTTTGTTGATGTTTACAGCTGTCAGGACTAGTATTTAATGGGCTACCAAAAAATATTTAAGGCCATCAAAAAGTATTTAAGGCAATGAAACAAGGAAAGATTCACATGTATGGAACACATTGGGGAGACTACTTTAAATGCATTGACCTTGAGTTTAGGAAAAAGAAAAGCAAACTCTGTACAAGCAAGATGATGCCATATCATGGAGACTTAACTAGAATACCACTTGACAGAAAAGGAATTTTCATCTTATATGACTGCTATGATTAACTGGGACTTAATGCCGTCAGACTACATATAATATGAAAAGGAAAGCTTTAAGGGAATGAGCCCAGCAATATCATTTAAGAGAAACTAAAATAAAGGGCACAAATAACAATTACACAAAGAAAATAAAGCAAAGCTGGACTGAGGTTTAATAATCTGGTTTGGGCTGGAAACACAGAATGAGAATTTTAAAAAAATTAATGGGAAGAGCAAAGACTTTAAATAAGGAAGCTGAGGAGGTAGGGAAGTTTTGAGGTCACTCCACAGTGGTCAGGATAGACTCAAGGAGTTGCCACGGAAATGGTAAAATATATGGTATGAAGAACGTGTAGAAGTTAGAAAATATGAAGGGAGATGTTAACCCGAGAGTCTCAAAAGAGAACAAATGATTAAGTCATCAGAATAAAGAAAACGTCTAAAGGATATGTGAACAGAGCAACAAATGGAAAACAGAACCTTTGGAGGACCTCATATTGGGGAAAAAGAGAAACTAAGGAAACAGATACATGCACAGCAACGGACCAGGTTACACTGGGGGCACAGAATCCAAGATGGGGGTGGATGATAGGAAAGGAAATCAAGATTATCAAAAGGGGGGTCCGGCCCGTGGCTCACTCGGGAGAGTGTGGTGCTGATAACACCAAGGCCCCGGGTTCGGATCCCATATAGGGATGGCCGGTTTGCTCACTGGGTGAGTGTGGTGCTGACAACACCAAGTCAAGGGTTAAGATCCCCTTACCGGTCATCTTTAAAAAAAAAAAAAAAAAAGGTTATCAAAAGGGGCAGGAAGGTGAAGTAGTCAAAAAATCAAGAGCTAGATGAAATAAACAGTGGGGCTGAATCCAAGAAGAGATAAAGAGGTGTATGTTCCTCAAAACACCTAAAAGAAAAAGAGCTCTTGCCTAGGAAGAGGGACTTGTTTACATATCCTCAAACACCCTCACAGCTGTGAACCTCTGAACGTTTAGACTATGACTTCATTGGCCACACTCCTTGCTGGATCTCACTGACTCACCTAGATAGATTTGACTATGGATTTCATCTTCTATTGTCCATGCTTCTCCTCGTTGCAACCTGGTGAGTGCATCTGGCTTGCTGGCTTGATACCCTGTTCAGGGGAAATGACAGAAGACAGGTTCATCAAACTGGGCTGTGATCTGTCAACATAAGAGAACGCTCCATTTTAAGAACAACATAATTTACATGTCTGAAAATTAAAGGCTTTTCTCTCACAAACGTGGCACATTATACTCCTTTATCTCAGGCCAGAAAGGTGACTGAGAATCTACCACTTCAAGGCACCACAGACACCCTAGAACTTTCAGAAACTGATAAGGAAAGGCCACTGACTGGACACCCTCTGAGTGACACAGGGCAGCTGTCCTTACCCACTGACACCAGGTTGCTGTAGTTCTCCAACATCACATCCCAGTACAGGTCCTTCTGAGCAGGGTCCAGGAGCTGCCACTCCTCCCTGGTGAACTCCACAGCCACATCCTCCAGTGTCAGTGATTCCTGTAATAACATAGTCCTCCTTAATATGAAGTGTTTCTCTTTTATTGACATGGAAGGAATGTGAAGGATGTTGTTCGGCTCATTTTCACAATATATGCTGCATCTATATACTTTGGTGTCACAATTTTTTAAACAATACATTGTGATAGAAGCAAAATCTATCTCTAAAATCTATGTTCAAAATCTATCTCTAGCAAAATATTCTGTAATTGTAGAGTCATCCATCAATTAACAAATCAGAATAACTAGTCATTTAATGTCCTGGCTAAACTAGAAACATATCATATATGTGTGTACATATACATACATACATATATATATATATATACATACATACATATATATATATACACACATATATATATATACACACATATATATATATACATATATACATATATATATGTATATATACATATATACATATATATATATATATATATATATATATATGCAGGTTTTTTTGAACACATATTTGCCAGGCACTAAATACATTCTACTGATATCAAGATGAACACAGCACTTTTCTATATTCATCATGAATCTTCATACCCAATATCAGAATCAACCATGGACAAACTACAGACACTATAAGATACTACATATTAAATGTGTATTTTTTATGTTAGAAGGTGTGATATTGTCTCTGCCCCCAATTCCTGACACAGAACTCCCCAAACCCTTATAAATAGAAGTGCTAGGAGAATCTCTTATTCTTTTTTTTTTTTGTCCTTTTTGAGACCAGCCGCACTGCGCTCAGCCAGTGAGCGCTGCGAGCGCACCAGTCATCCCTATATAGGATCTAAACCCACGGCGGGAGCGCTGCTGTGCTCCCAGTGCCGCACTCTCCTGAGTGCACCCACGGGCTCAGCCCAGAATCTCTTATTCTAATATTTGGTCTTTGACCCTGATTCCTGACACAGAGCACCTAAGATCTTTGTAAATTCCTGAGTGATAGCAGCATTTGACACAGAGCTCCTAAATCCCTTGGAATTTCATGGGTGATAGAAGTGTCTTTTGTTTTAATGAGGCAACTCTTGGGCTCCTGGATAACCTCCGGATCAGGTCTTATTGCCAAGGGAACCTACTATGTGACTAGAGGGTTGAAACTTTCAGCTGCAATGCCTGATCTCTGGGAGGGGTGAGAGGCTGAGGGTTGAGTTGATAACCAATGGCCAATGATGTAATCAATTATGCCTACATAATGAAGCTTCCATAAAAACTCAGAAGGACAGTTCCAAGAGCTTCTGAATACCTGAACACACAGAGATGCCTGGATGATAGTGGTGCATCTGGAGAGGCATGAAAACTTCCCCCCTTTCCCACATACCCCACCCTATGCATCTCTTCCATCTGGCTGTTCATCTGTATAACTTATAATATCCTGTACAATAAACTGGTAAATGTAAATCAAGTGTTTCCCTGAGTTCTGTGAGCTGCTCTAGCAAGTTAATCAAACCTGAGGAGAGGGTTGTGGGGATCCTGATTTATAGCCAGCTGGTGAGAAGGATAAGTGACAGTCTACTGCTTGTGATTGGTGTCTGATATGGGCAGTCTTGCAGGACTGAGCCCTAAATCTATAGCATCTGACAATATTTCCAGGTAGATAGTGTTGAAACTGAATTGAATTATAGAACACCCAGTTGGTGTCTGCTGGAGAACTGATTGTTGGTGGGGAAGAACCCAGTTTTTGGTGACCAGAGGTAACATGTTCTGTGTTGAATATTGTATGGAGAGTAACAGTAGGAAAACACTGTTTTTTACCCATGTCCTTGGAGGAGTAAAAGAATTTTTCCAAAACATGTCCAAACAGCAAGAGACTATTAAGTAATATTAAGTAGACTAAGAAAATGCATACTATTGATCAGAAACCACAAACACATACAACTTTAAAAATTATTATCAGGTATGTTAACAGCATATCAATTACATTGAAGAGCTAATTAATGAACTAGATCTGAAGAAAGTACCACAGGACAAAATGATCAAATATAAAAGACAGATTAATAAATATGGAAGATAGGTGAGGTCTAGCATTTACCAATTCAACGTATGAAAAAGAAAACATAATAATGGAAAGGCATTATCCAAAGATTTAAGGGCTGAGATAGATACATCTGTAAATATATATACACATATACACATATATGTGGTAGATGCACACACAGGAACAGTGACAGGAAATATGTGCTACTTACCCATTTGGTAAAGCTGCACTTAGCGAATTAGGAAAAGATGGATGGAAAGGAACTTTACTTTTTCACGATGTATACTTTGTAATCATTGGACAGTTTTATTTTAACCTTTAAAATGTATCCATGCACATTTTTGGGATTTTTTTGTTTGTTTGTTCTGTTTTGGTTTTTTTGCAGCTGACTGGTACAGGGATCAAACCCTGGACCCTGGTGTTATCAGCACCATGCTCTAAACAACTGAGCTAACTGGCCAGCCTGTATGATTAAATTTTTAAAAGGTAATAAAGGAGACAGCAGTATGTAAGAACTGGCTTTGGACACAGAAAGGAGTGTGTACTATCTTAGGGTGAAGTTCTAAAGCAAACCCTCTGGATCGCGACAACCGATGCCCTTACCAGAGAACATAACTTCCAAATGCCTACAGACAAATTTGTACTCAAATACCAGTTCAGCCATCTGTTCATATGGGACTTTAGGAAGTCAGAGAATCTTTCCAACTTCCTAGATCACAAAGGTTTTATTCCTAGATTGACCCTAATAGCCATACAGCTGGGTCCATGGGTCACCTTGCCATGGTCCCATGAAAAACTGTATATTGAGTTCTCTTCATCTCTTTCCTAAGGGGTCTCTGAGAAACTTTGGTTTAGCATTTATGAGAAATCTGCATTTATGATACCATCTATCACATCACCTCAAGGAATAACCATCCAAAAAAACAACCCGAGACGTAAGTGGAATGAAATAGTGACACCTCTCAGGAACTGGTCTGCTTTCCTCTCAGAGTTAGTGCATATTTTGTGACCATCATGATTCTCTGGTTGTGATGACTGTCAGAGACATTAGACAGAAGGTGACACCTAAAACAACCCACAAGATGCTCCAGTCACACATTATGTTCTGATACTGATCATTCAGTGTAAATTCTATTGTGCTGTTTTTACTCATAACACCTCTGACAATAATTGAGTGGGTTTTTCCTTAGACCAAGTAATTCTCCAAATCTTCAACACCAACTGGGTATCCAACAATTAAATTCAATTCTGGCACCAACTCCTGGAGTTAGTGTAGACCCCACAAGCTAAGGGCTCAATCCCACAAGACTAACCCCACTTCAGATGCCAGTGTCAAGTGTGAGGTCCCCAGTTTATCCACACATCTATCTGACTTGTCTACAAATTTTGGGGTTTCCATAACACACCCTCAGGTTCAAAAATTCACTAGAACAATTCACAAAACTTAGCATAGTGCTGAACTTACTATTGCCAGTTTATTATAAAGGATGCAACTCAGGAATACCCAAATGGAACAGACGCACAGGGCAAACTATGGGGGTGTTGGTGGTGGTGTGAACTTCCATGCTCTCTCTGGGCACTCCACTCTCCCAGCAAGTCGATGTGTTCACCAACTCAGAAGCCCTCTGAACCCCATTGCTTAGAGGTTTTATGTAGGTAGGTTTCATTACATAGGTATGATTGATTAAATTATTGGCCACTGGTTATTGAACTCAATCTCCTTCTCCCTTCCCTGGAGGGTGGGGGTAAGGGCTGAAAGTTGCAAGCTTCTAATTAAGGATTGGTCTTTCTGTTGACCAGCCTCCATACTGAAGCTATCTAAAGGTCCACCAAGAGTAACTTTATTAGAACAAAAGAGGCTCCTATCGCTTTTATCAATCAGAAGTTCTAAGAGTTTTAGGAGCTCTGCGCCAGGAATTAGGGACAAAGACCAAACATCTTTCTATGATACCACACCTATGATCAATATATTCCTGGTCCTACTTTTCCTTGATGTTGAAGTTAGAGTCTATTTGTGCATTAATACTGCTTTACCAATTTATACTTTTCCATTTAATTCAATTGACTTTTTTTTTTTCCTTTTTGTCTTTTTTTTTACTGACCGGCAACGGATCGCAACCCTCAGTGTCGCGCCCGTACCGGACCGGGACCGGCAACGGGATCGCAAACCTCGGTGTTGCTCCCGCACCTCGCTCAGCCAGTGAGCGGCCAGTCTGTATGTGGGATCCGAACCCTCGGCGGGAGCGCCGCCACGCTCCCAAGAGGCGCACTGTAGCAGTGCGCCACCGGGCCCACCCTCAATTGACTTTTAAAGTGCTCCAGAAATCAACCACAGAATGAAAGAAAGAATAAAACAAACCAAAAGTCACCTGGGCCTTGATCATTTTCTTCTCTTATGGGAAGTAGCCAGTAATTAGGATACCGTGTCTTTAGTCTCTTCTTGAACTGCTCTAAATTTCTAGTTAGTCATTAATTTCTAGTTAATCCTCCAGTCAAGGATGTCCCCACAAATGATGATATCTGGGTCCTGGAGTCTCCTCCTCTCTTCACTTGATGTGTCTTGCTCTTGGAGCCAGGACCTGTGGACTTAAGAGGAAATTCACTTTGAGTGCACATTCCTGCTGGGCTCACATCAAGGCCATCTCTAACTGCCCCTTATTTGAGGCAGAAACTTTTACACCTTGTGGCAATAAAACATCAAATTCTAACTGTATAATCAATAAATTTTTCTTTGGTAGAAGTGGGGTGACTGTGAGGGAAGATGGGAGAGAAGAGCCAACATAACATGATGCTGCAACACCAAAGGACTTCTCAAAGAGATCAGTTTTTAGAAAGAGAACATATAGAAGGTGAGAATCTGGATATTTATTTCTTTAAACCCATGTTTGCCCATGTACCTGTTCAAAAGTTGTTGTACACCTCACGCACAGGCACACCTCAGTTTGAAGACAAATGTGCTAAGCAAAGCATGGGCACTGTCATTTAACTTCTCATTAGTGACCACTTTATTACACTCTTATAAGCTATAAATCATTATTTCCAATTCCAACATGAACCTAATAATGCTTGGTGATTAACTATCTTGTCAAAGAACACACAATATATGGCAGAGTCGGAATTTGAACCCAAGCCCACCTGTCTACAAGAACATGACATTAGGCATTACTCTATTCCCCTGGCCACATCCTCATCACAAGACTGAGCTCTCTTTGCTACAACACTGGAGGAGTTTCATTTCCACAGCATCACATGAAGGATGGCCACATAGCCACAGACCTATAATCTGAACTTCCAGAATCAGCTCTGCTAATGGTGACACACGCAACTACCTTCTTCTCTAACAACAAATGGAAATGCTGCATGCCACACCCTTGGCCTGAAAGCAGCAGGTCACAGACCAGCTGCCCCAGAGGCATTCTGTAAGCCAAATTCTGGAGCCCAAGGACAGGATTACATGATGAGAGCATCAACTTGATGGACTCATCTTGACTTTTTCTTCTCCCTACCTGGGTAGAATCATCGTGACAAGCTCCCTATGGCTCTCCTCCAAACCCATAGGATCTGTACTTCCTCATCCTCTGACCCATAACTGCATAAGCTCCCATCCCTCTTCAATCCAAGAGGCACTTTGCTGAGGCAGTAGAACTTTCAGACTTGTCTTCTTGAAAGGCCACCAATGGAGGGGCCAGCCTGGTGGCACACTGCTACAGTGTGCCGCTTGGGAGCGCGGCGGCACTCCCGCCGAGGGTTCGGATCCCACATACAGACCAGCCGCTCACTGGCTGAGCGAGGTGCGCAACACTGAGGGTTGCGATCCCGTTGCCGGTCCCAGTCCGGTACGGGCGTGACACTGAGGGTTGCGATCCGTTGCCGGTCACGAAAAAAGACAAAAAGGGGGGGAAAAAAAAAAAAAAGAAAGGCCACCAATGGAAAGGTGCACAGGCCAAATGACGTGACTCTTATGGGCAGGTGGCAGTGGATGAATGCAACATTTCAGAGGCACCCAGGGTATGCACTTCAAATGGCAAGGTTTCCATTCCCATGAGCTTCCATAGCCCTTTATACAGGAATAGCTGAAGTTTCTACCTCATTTTTGACCCTTAAGAACTCTCTGTAGAAAGTAATTATTCCCATTTCCTCTAGTGGCTAGGTCCTTTCATTGGAGAAGTACCATTTCTGAAAATGTTTATATAGGAAGCAATACAGAAAATTTCCACAAATGCTAAAACATCATTACCAAACAGGCCATGATCACTAATCATTACGTGAAAGTAACAAACAACAAAGGAAAGTTGACAGAAAAAAATCAAAACCTGTGCTGAGCCAGGGCTAGGGTCTGGAACTCACAGACCCCTCGAGCCCATTCAAAAACCCTTCACATGCAGGTCTATGAGCTAGGTCACAGGAAAAGGTCCTTGAAGCCATAGGTAAAGACAGAATAGTCTTTATTCAGCACACACATGTCTAAGAGCTAGGCAGTCCAAAGAGAAATAGAACAGCTGCCAGCAAAGTAAACATGCTGTATTTTTAGATGCAAGCTCTGTGGATCTGCTGCTTCACACACTGAAAAACACACAAGAATAGCAACAAGCTAAAAGTACTGGGTGCACATGCGCACTAACTCTACTCCCACACAACTTGTTTATAAAGAATGTGCTGCACCACACACAACTGGACCTGAGGCGAGGAGGCCTGACTACTCTATTTTCCTCACAACCTGTAAAGCAAAACTATATGTTATTTGAAGCTATATATAAAACGTGCATTATATGAAAAACATGCAGTATATGAAAACATGCATAGTATGAAACAAGTTCAAGAGAGTGGTTATCACTGGGGAAGGAACAAGGGGGATGGACTATTAAGGAGATCACTTAAGTTGAACTTGCAACAGTTTATTTTTTAAAAAGTACCACCAGCAAAAAAATAAAATCAAGTACATCATGGAGGAAAATCACATTGAGTGAAAATGGCAGAGTGGGAAGTTCTCACTGGACCAACCTTCCAGTTCAGGCCTACTGAACTAATGCATCCCCCTGTCCTCGGACAGAGATCAAACAATTCCCCCTCCTCTCAATGCCACTGAGCTGAGTTCTGTGTTTCCAAGCTCCTGACCCAGCCATACCCTATGTGACCCTATGGTTCACAGCCGTACCCTAATGAACACCTCCCCTGCCTCACTGGCAGAAATAAAGCACATCTGTGCCCTCCAGGAGAAGCAGCCAGTCAGTTTCACCTTCAACAGTGCTGCCAAGTGACTTTGCCCATTGCTCAAGAAGAGGCTGGGCAGGCTCCCTCTCAGCAGGCCTGCTCCATGGCCTTGCCCACTGCTCAAGAAGCAGCTGAAAGGGCCCCCTCTCTGTATTCCCACCTGGCAGCGTCACCCACTGCCTGAGTAGCAGCTGGACAGGCTTTCTTTCAGCATGCCCTCTTGGCTGCCTCACCCACTGCCCAAGAAGTGTCTGACAGGACCCCCTCTCTGCAACCCTTCCTAGTGACCTCATCCACTGCTGAAGAAGTGGTTGGCAAGGCCCCTTCTCTGTGGCCTTGCATAGTGCCCTATCCCACTGCTCGAGAAGTAAACAGCAGGGCTCCCTCTCTGCAGCATCATGTAGCCACCTCATCCATTTCCCAAGAAGTGCCTGGTTGGGGCCCCATCTGGGCAGTCCTGACTAGCAGTATGGCCAACCACAAGAGAAAAAGCCCAGGAGCCCCACCCTTGGCAGGACTGCTCTGAACTGCCAAGGGAATCACAGTGCCACACTTGGCCTCAAGAAATGATGCAGTGGACTGGCTCCTGGCAGATCGGCACTTGGCTAGCTGAGCGTATTAGTCCGTTTTGTGTTGCTATAACAGAAATACCTGAGACTAGGTGATTTACAAAGAAGAGAGGTTTATTTGGCTTATGATTCTGGGACAGTTACATCTGGCATGGACCTCAGGCTGTTTCTACTCATGGCGGAAAAGTGTCAGGCAGCCAGCAGGTACAAGCAGATCACATGGCGAGAGGAAGCAAGAGAGAAAGCAAGAAAGAGAGAGAGAAAAGGTGCCAGGGTCCTTTAAACAATCAGCTCTCACAGGAACTAATAGAGCATAGAGCGAAAACACACTCACTACCCCTCCTCCCCCAGGGAGAGCATTAATCCATTCATGAGGGATCTGTCCCCATGACTCAATCAGTTTCCAACACTGCCACATTGGAGATCAAATTTCCACATAAGTTTTGTAGGGGACAACACATCCAAACTCCATCACTGAGCCAAAGCATATCCATGCCCGACTCAGAGAAACAGTTCATCTGTCATGCCCCTGATGGACCTACCCCTGAGTCTTTCGATTGCATGCATAGGCAATCAAGTGAGAAACAGCCTGGTTGTTTGCAAAGAAAAATAATGCTACAGTAACTGGTCCCAAAGAATCAGAAATTGCCAACATACCAGAAAAAAAATTCAAATTAATAATCTTAAGAAAACTCACCAAGATACACGAGAATACAGACAAACATTCAACAAAATCAGGAAAACAATTCATGATCTGAATGAGAGAATTAATAAAGAGACAGATATCATAATCAAACAGAAATCCTGGAACTGAAATATTCATGGAACGAAATAAAAATTACATACGAGAATCACAAAACAGACTATATCATGCAGAAGAATTTCTGATCTTGAAGACAAATGTTCTGAAATAATGCAGGAAGACAAAAAATAAAGAATTTTTAAAATGAACAAAACCTACAAGATTTATGGAATACTATTAAAGCAAACAAAAATTCAAATTATGGGCATTCTAGAAGGAGAGAAAAACAAAAAACACTGAAAATGTATTTAATGAAATGATAGCTAAAAACTTCCCTAGTTTTGGGAACAATAGGAACATCTAAATCCAGGATAGTCAAAGATCCACAAATAGATTCAACCCAAAACAGTTCATTCCAAGACACGGAATAGTCAAACTGTCAAAAGTTAAAGATGGAGAGAATTTTAAAAATAGCAAGAGAAAAGCATCAAGTCACTTATAAGGGAATCCCCTAACAGCAGACATCTCAGCAGAAATCCTACAGGCCAGGAGAAAATGGGATGATATATTCAAAGTACTGAAAGAAAAAAGAAAAACAAATGCCAGCCAAAAATATTAAACCCAGCAAAGCTATCCTTTGGAAATGAAGGAAAAATAAGGGCATTCTCAGATAAGCAAAAGTTAAAGGAATTCATCATCAAAAGGCCAGCCTTAGAAAAAGTGTTTAGGCACTTCAGGAAGTAGGACTGGACACAGACTTCATGAATACGACCCCCAAAGCACGGGCAACCAAAGGAAAAATAAACAAATGGGATTATATCAAACTAAAAAGATTCTGCACAGCAAAAGAAGCAATTAACAGAGTTAAAAGATAACCAACAGAGTGGGAGAAAATATTTGCAAAATATACATCTGACAAAGGATTAATATTCAGAATATACAAGGAACTCAAACAACTTTACAAGAAAAAAACAAGCAACCCAATTAAAAAATGGGCAAAAGAGCTAAATAGGCATTTCTCAAAGGAAGATATATGAATGGCCAACAGACATATGAAAAAATGC